CGGGGGTGGTGGGTGAGGGCCGGAGCCTCTGGTGAAGGACGGCCCCGAGGCTGGAGATGTCCCCAGGGTGTGGGAAAACGCTGGCGAAAAGCGGAGAAAGGGGGGCGCGGGCTGGCGCCACCTGTGGCCTGTGCAGCGGGATCTAAAAACTTGCGCCCTTTTGAGGCTTGGGGGTGACCACCCCCGTGTATTTCCTGGGTCTCCGTTTTCTGGGAAGAATGCGAGGGAAGGTGTGGAGTGTTTCGGGTCAGGCCGGGTTCCGAGTTTGCGTGGGGACAGGGACGTGAGTCGGGACGCACAGGGAGCTGTTTCTGCAGCTGAAAAGTTGGGCCTACACCAAGCCCGTAACTCACTCGAGCCTCAGGAGACAGTTACCGATTTCGGTTTCCTTTAGAGCCAGACATTTCCAACATGTGTGACCGTTAGCCTAGTAGTTCCAGAGAATGTTTCTTTACTCATGGTGAACTGTTCTTGTCTAATGATGAGAAATGACCGAATAACAGCCCCAGAGCTTCATTAAGCCACAGGAAGGGAAAATTTAAATTCAGATTCCAGTTGGATGAAGGTTCTTGTATATGTTTTTTTTTTTTTTTTCCCCTGTAGAATTAACTAAAAACTAAAATGAAGACGCCTGAGCCCTGGTTGATGTTGGTGGGCAAAAAGGAGACTGGAGGTTCCACTTTTAAAATGTCACAAATTCCGAACGTTTTAGTGTATTTTTGAATAGTCATATTGGCACTTAAATTGGTTTTGTGACTCTTCTTTCTTACTAATGCTTTTTTCCCCTTTTCTATTTTTTCGTGTTCTTTCTCCAGTATTTCTCTTTTCCCCTTTTGTGCAGCCAGGGGCATGGAGACAAAAGCTGAGTGGTGGAAAGTGGTAGGTTAGGCTAATTCAGTGACTCTTCAGTTGTGTTTTTCCTTCCCCGGTTGCTGTTCTCCACAGGTTTGAGAGAACTGAGAACCTTTCTTGAAGGTCTGATAAATTGTCAGCAAAAGTCACATTTCAGAGTTGCAGTTCCAGCTGTCTTTGAGTCCACTATATGATCTATAGTAGATCTGCACAATTTAAAGCAATTGAAAGTTTTGCATATGTAAAATAGGGTGCCTGGTATTTTTTAATGGAAAGGAGTCAGAAGAGGAGATGTCTTCCTTTTTCTCTCATTATAAAAACCGCAGACTTCACAATTGCCTTCAAAGCCCTAGATCTGTAGCACCCTTTTGCCCCCCAATATATGCACGGGTCCGTGGCTGTTCCTTAAGGACATTTCTGCTTCAGGGGTTGTGCATTTGTTCCCTGGATCTTCCAGGGCAGTGGTTGGCAAACTGCGGCTCTTTGGCCCCTTGAGTGTGGCTCTTCCACAAAATACCACGTGCGGGCCCGCACATACAGTGCGAACGAAACTTCGTGGCCCATGCGCAGAAGTCGGTATTTTGTGGAAGAGCCGGTATTTTGTGGAAGAGCCACACTCAAGGGGCCAAAGAGCCGCATGTGGCTCGCGAGCTGCGGTTTGCCGACCACGGTTCCAGGGTAACCATTTCCTTATAGAGCTGCACAGCCTTGTCGCCTCACCTCCTCAGATCTTTACTCCAATATCACACTTAACAGGGAGGGTTCCTTGGCTATCTAAATTGCAAAGTCCCTCCCCCACATACATTTTCTGAATGTCCTATCCCACTTC